AGGAAAGAAAGGAAAGAAAGGAAAGAAAGGAAAGAAAGGAAAGAAAGAAGGAAAGAAAGGAAAGAAAGAAAGGAAAGAAAGGAAAGAAAGAAAGGAAAGAAAGGAAAAAGGAAGGCCAGGCGCGGTGGCTCACGCCTGTAATCCCAGCACTTTGGGAGGCCGAGGCAGGTGGATCATGAGGTCAAGAGATCGAGACCATCCTGGTCAACATGGTGAAACCCTGTCTCTACTAAAAATACAAAACATTAGCTGGGCATGGTGGTGCGTGCCTGTAATCCCAGCTACTCAGGAGGTTGAGGCAGGAGAATTGCCTGAACCCAGGAGGCGGAGGTTGCGGTGAGCCGAGATCGCGCCATTGCACTCCAGCCTGGGTAACAAGAGTGAAACTCCATCTCAAAAAAAAAAGAGAGAGAGAGAGAGAGAGAAAGCAAGAAAGCAAGCAAGAAAGCAAGAAAGCAAGCAAGAAAGAAAGAGAGAGAGAGAGAAAGAAGAGAAAGAAAGAATCAGGTTTGCTGCATCTCCATTCAGTGTTCCTTCTTGATAAATGAATCCCGGCCTCATCAGCTCCATCAGCTCTCACTCTCACCACCTTTCCCAGGCTGGTTCCAGCCCCTCAGGCCTCTCAACGCTGCCTCTCTAAATGTCTTCTCCTTCCCCCAACACCTTCTCTCCTCCCCCTTGAAACCCACCCCTCCTCACCTTGTTGCAGCCACTTCTTATCATTTTTGAAAAGCTTATGTTTTCACAGCTGAACCATGGGCCATCACCGCTGTGCTCCTGGGCTTCCCCCAGTGGAGCTGGGATCAACTTTGAGGCATGTGGGGCAGAAGGTAATGGAGGAGAATCGCCCTCTTCCTGACAGTCTTCCTTCCTGACCTCCAGCCACCACTCCCTTCCCCTAGTCTTTCTCCCCATTCTCAGGCCTGCTCTGGTGTGCCAGATGGGCAGGAGGGCAGAGGGCAAGCAGTGCCCCAACACTAGAAGATGGCTTTGCACTCACGGCTGAGGTGCCCCGACAGCTGCCCTCTGCAGGCGCAGGTGCGCTCATGGTCCTGATCCATCCTCTCCCTCTCTGACTGTTCCTTTTCCATCTTCTGTTCTGGCTCTTTTTCTTGGGCTTCCTCAGGGACTTGCCATCACTTTTTTTTTTTTTTTTTTTTTGACAGGGCCTCACTTGGTTGTCCAGACTGGAGCACAGTGTCACTATCAAGTCTCGACTTGCCGGGCTCAGGTGATCCTCCCATCTCAGCCTCCCAAGAAGCTGGGACTACAGGCATGCATCACCACCATGCCTGGCTAATTTTTTTGTTGTTGCTGTAAAGACAGAGTCTCCTTATGTTGCCTAGGCTGGTCTCGAACACCTGGGCTTAAGCAATCCTCTTTCCTCAGCCTCCCAAAGTGTTGGGATTATAGGCGTGAGCCACCACGCCCGGCCATTTCTTTTTCTCTTCTGTCTTTGCTCGCAGACTTATCCGGCTGTCATTTCAAATGGCAATTCTAAGTAGATGGCACCAATACGACCTTTATCCCCCAGCTTCCTCAAACTCCAGGTCTGCATTTCAGCAGCTCACATTCCATCATCCAAATCAAACTCTCCTTCCTCCTCCACATTTCTCAAACAACGGCCACCACCTTTTGACTCCTGACATCATCCCGTTACCATGGTTTCTCAGATCTTTACCATCCCCCTGCAATTACAGTCACATTTCTGGTTGAAAACTCAACATGCCCCATGAATTCGAAGTCCCTGTGGATTCAAGTAAAACGGATCACCAGGACTAGTCTTCAAAATCAATGGCCGCCATTCTGTGCAGGAATCCATTGCCAGGCGGAATGTTTGGGCCTTCCTGTGCTCTGGGTTCTAGAGTCTAACGGGAAAGGCAGGCTTTTATAGACTGTCTGACATTTGCTGAAGATTGGGAGCTCCTCAGGGAATGACTCAGCCCTCCTTGGGCAAAAAGGATAATAAATCAGACAAAATCAGAATCATAGAGGGTCGCTAACTCTATGCTAAATGACCCTACAGGAAGGGTTTCTATGTTCATAATCCTGAGACAACAGCTACTTTGTGCAGTGACAGCAATTAATGGATGTTTGAATTAGAGAGAGAAAGAGAGAGAGAGAGATAGGGTAGGGGCTAAGGTAAGGGTCAAGGGCAGGAGGACACGTGTGAAAAGTTGGAAGCCATCCTGCTCCCTACAAGGACAAACGTATGCTGACACCATTCTCATCTTCAGCCTCTCTTGCTACCGGGAACACCTGACCTCTCACTTCTTCACCCTCCACCTTCCAACCCAGGACCACAACCCTTGTAGCCAAGGCCCTCATGGCAGCACCTGCTGAACCCCGGACTGGTTCTAGAACATGGAATGAGGCAAGTAAAGAACCTTCCTTGGAAGGGAAAATACTGAGTCCTGTCCTGTTCTTCTGAAAACAGAACGCTCCTGCCACTCTGCCCTGCCCCTCCCAGGATCAGGGTACCGGGGTTCCAGCCCCAGTTCTCATTGACCAGCTACAGCACTTAGTACAAGATAAAAAACGCTTTTTGTGTCCTGGTTTCTTCATCTGAAAACAAAACTTGTAAAATGTACTCTGCCCACTGTACAGGATTGCTGTGACGATCATACCGTGCTTGTGTGAAATTCACTGTTGACACATCACTCTCATTACATTATCGATTTGGATCTTTACAAATCACCCCGTCAGACAGGTGAGGAAAGCATTTTGCTATTTTTTTATGGATGAGGAAACCAATCCTCCCCAGGGAGGAAGGATGTGCCCAGCAGCACAGCTAACATGTGGCAGAGTTGGGATTCCACCAAGCCCCCTATGCACTGAGCCACAGGGTCCCAGCATGGCAAGAGGCTGGGTGACATAGCATGCTGCTATTATTAAGAAAAGCAGTATTTTTTTTTTCCAGGATGGCTATAGTTCAAATATTTGCCAGTGGATTATCACTGGTGAATTTGGATATCCCCAGATCTCCAATCCGTCATTGCATAAGTGGGTTATTTTGACCTGAGAAGTAGATGTGGAATCGTTGGCCTCAGGGCTGAAACGGAGAAGGTAGAGTTAGGTAAGGAAGAAGATGAGTCAGTGGGTGTCTCTGATACCACTGTTCACTGACGGCAATCACGCTTTCTGCTGCTACAGAGGACTACGGAATTGTAGGAAAGTTCATAAATTCTAACAATCCTGTTTTATGGGTGAGAAAACTTATGCCCAGAAAGATAACAAAGACATGCCCAACATTGCACAGCTCGTAAGCGTGCAGCCAGTTCCAGCCCCAGGTTTCCTAACTCTAAGTCCACGGCTCCCTCCATGCTGCCTGCATTTCAGGCTATTCTTCATCTCATCCTGCCTGGGGCTCATCCCTCCATTCATGTGTGCAACCGACAGTCAGCAGAGAGTGGCAATGGGGGTGATGTGCATAGTGGATCCTTTACCACAGATGTCCCCTGAATGAGGGGCAGTCCTCTTGGAGACTGAGGGTTCTGAAAACAGAACCCTCCCCCCACTCTGCCCTGTCACCTTCCAGAATCAGGGAACCTGGGTTCCAGCCCCAGTTCTCACCAACCGGCTACAGAACTTAGTACAAGATAACAAACCCTTGGTCAAATGCCAGGCCCAAGACGCAGCTTTGTCTCCATGATCCAGGATAATCCCTTGAATGTATGTGTTGGGCTTTGAGTTGGGGAAGAGGAAATATTACTCACGACTTGTCTCGCCTGCCGAGCCTTCTTGGGGGGCTTGCCTGTCTCCTTCTGGGGGACAGGGATTTTCCCCGGGTTCTCACTTGGGTCGGAGAGTGGGCACTTGCAGGTTTCAGGATCTGAAGGAGATGCGAGGAGTTAATCAACCTGGTTCCTAAAGGATCTCTACTCTCACATCTTCTTCCAGCACCACATCCCAGCCCCCAGCTCGATCATGATGCCGTGGTTTAGAAGGCATTGAGCGGGAAGACTTCTAAAACAAGGAGGCTGGAGACACACACATTCCTCCCTCGCCCTGTACTGTCAAGGAGTAAGGGCACCACTTCCAAGACGGATATACGGTTGGTCACATTGTGCCCCCTGTGTGGTGTGGAGAAAGGAACACAGCCCAGTGTCTCAGCCCCCGAGGCTGCATTTGTTTGCTTGGCAGTTCCTCTCCTCACAAAGACAAAGTCCCATCTACATTGCCCCCAAAACCAGCTTGTTCTTCTTCTGATGCTCCCATCCCACTAACAGAGTGGTTTTAACTGATCAGGAATCTCCACTCCAGGTCCTGCGGAGTGAAGATGACAAGTCCACAGTGCTAAACCCAGCTGAAGTCAGCATAATTCTTTTCTCTCAGTGACTGCACGAGCCCTAGAGGGACTTGAACAAGTGGGAATCACATCACTTTGGAGGTAAAACTGAGAGAGGGAAGGAGGGCCTATGAGTATAGTCTGTATAAAGCCAGCATATAAGGTTTTCCAGGTTTTAATACTGAAAATTTCATATCCTTGGGAGCCCGCAGTTCCAGGCAAACTGGAACAATCGGTCACTCTATTATATAGGCAAAACAGAACAAACTAGAGCTTCAATAGAAAATGACTGACACTTTAGATCTGATTTCATAGAAGGAATTGCAGGACAATTTTTTTTTTTTTTTGAGACGGAGTTTCGCTCTTGTTACCCAGCCTGGAGTGCAATGGCGCGATCTCGGCTCACCGCAACCTCCGCCTCCTGGGTTCAGGCAATTCTCCTGCCTCAGCCTCCTGAGTAGCTGGGATTACAGGCACGTGCCACCATGCCCAGCTAATTTTTTTTTGTATTTTTAGTAGAGACGGGGTTTCACCATGTTGACCAGGATGGTCTCGATCTCTTGACCTCATGATCCACCCGCCTCGGCCTCCCAAAGTGCTGGGATTACAGGCTTGAGCCACCGCGCCCGGCTGCAGGACAATTTTAACTGTCACATCTAAATTGATTTTTTTTTTCAGTAGTAGCTGCAAAGAGAAACTTTAACCTCAAGAAATTTCTGATCATTCTAGAAAAATGAGGTTTGGAGCAAGAGACAGACAGAAAGGAATGGGAACAGAGCTCTCCTGCCTGGCTTCCTTGTCTTCCCAGCACCCACCTTCATTCTCATGTCTCTGGCGTATTTCTCCAGCTCCTTCCTTATGTCAGCCCTCAGCATCTTTGAGACGTTGAGGACCAGCTGCTTCCACTCAATGGGCTGGAAGCTATGAGGCTCATGGGGGACGTACAGCCCAATCTTGACCTTCTTGACTGTGTGAAGGTATTTCTTGTAGGAGTCCTCAAAGTCAAAGATGAGGTCACTCAGAGTCCGAAAGGTCAACGGCTTGTCCATCAGCTCAGCCCTTCGGCTCATGCCCAGTGAGCCATAGCGGCCATTGCAGTAAATCCCCAGCACAACATGGTGAAAGCAGTTTCCTGAGAAGTAGGTTTTAAAGCTGATGGGGAACCGCTCAATGGAAGGCTGTCCATTGGTTAAGTAGCTTAGGCAATCTGAGTCAAGGAAGAGAAAGGAGGCCTTGAAAATTCAGAGCCTGGACGCACAGGAAGGGAAGTGTCTCATAGGGGTCAGTGAGTCCATGCCCCTGCCTCTGAGCAGGCCCACATCTAACTTTTCCGGACTAATCCTTTCATAAAGGAGTCACTTGATATCTTTGACTATCTACTATATGCTGTATGCTCAAACCAAGTTAACATGAGACAAAAAGAAAAACTTGTCATTTTCTTCAGTAATTACAAACGTGCAAAACAAAACAATAACAAGACACTTTTTCCTCCACTCCTGGGGCTCACACAGGCTGTACTCCAGCCTGGAACAGCCTCACAACTGTCCCTTTCCCCTTCCGGGGTGTCGGGTGTCATGCCTCCCTGACCTTCCTCTTCCTAGCTTATTCTCGCTTCTCCCCTCCCACCCCCGCCAAGTCAATTGCTAAAGTCTTGGGACCCGGAGCAATTGGGAATGCAAAGAGTGGTGGCAAGGAAGTGTGGATGCAGGCAGGGGAGTGTAACCTGAGTTCTTCCAGGTAAGGGGGAGCAGCAGTGCCAAACCTGGGATCATCTTTCCAAAACACACAAGAACCCCCCCCACACACACCACATTTGGTGCCTGCCCATCCTGCATTGTAACTGTATCTTGTGAGGGCAAGGGTCAGGTCTCACATCCCGGCATTCCCTGGATACAGCACAGACTTGGTACACAGACAGCTTTGTTTAAAGCTTACAGAAAGAATTAACCTTAGACTGTGGATGCCCACTGCCTTACACTTACAAGGGCAGCACCTAATCCAGATGTCCCAAAGAGAAGGATGCTGACACAATCCATCCATGGCCATGACGACAGCCTTGTTCTCTGCCCTCGGCTTAATCACGGATGGCTCCACTCTCTAAAAATGTTTTGTACTTGCTTTCTCTTCACTTTATCATGTGAGATCGAATGGCGGTTAGGGAGTGAAATCACATCCTTCTGAGTCCTCTTACACAAATTCCTAGCTGCTTTCTGGGGCAAGTTCTCTGGGGCTGGAACAAGGGCATTCCTTAACTGCTTAAGTCAGTGTAACAAACACTTATCCTGAGTGTCAGCTGTGCCAGACAGCCTGCCAGGTAGGGCTGTGGAGCCAAAGATAAGAACACAGCCGTTCTCCAGCAGTCTGGTGGGAGACAGACTCAATGCACACAATGCAATCAGCATGGCAATTCCTCAAATGATTCAACAGGATTACCCTAGGACCCAGCAATTCCACTTCTGAGTGCATACTCAGAAGAATTGAAAGCAGTGACCCAACAGATATTTGTACATCCATGCTCTCAGCAGCATTATTAGCAATAGCCAAAAGGTGGAAACAACCCAAATATCCATCGATGGACAAATGGATGAGGAAAATGTAGTGTATACATGCAATAGAATTTAATCAGCCTCATAAGGGAAGGAAGTTCTGCAATGTGCAGGGTGAGCCTTGAAGACATGCTGAGTGAAATCAGCCAAATACAAAAGGACAAATACTGTATGATTCCACTCATCAGTACCTAGAGTAGCAAGTGCATGGAGACAGAAAGTAGAATGGTGGTGGGCAGGGGCTAGAGGGAGGAAATGGGGAGTACTCTTTCATGGGTATGGGGTTTCATTTCTAGGGAAGAATAGTGGTCTTTTTTTTTTTTTTTTTTTTTGAGACAGACTCTGTTGCCCAGGCTAGAGTGAAGTGGCATGATCTCGGCTCACTACAGCCTCTGCCTCTCGAGTTCAAGCAATTCTCCTGCCTCAGCTTCCTAAGTAGCTGGGATTACAGGTGCCCGACACCACACCTGGCTAATTTTTGTATTTTTAGTAAAGATGGGATTTCACAGTGTTGGCCAGGCTGGTCTCTAACTCCTGACCTCAGGCGATCTGCCCTCCTCAGCCTCCCAAACTGTTCAGATTACAGGCATGAGCCACCCTGCCTGACCGGAATGATGGTCATTTTGCAGAGCATTATGAATGTACTTAATGTCACTGAACTGTGCATTTAAAAATAGTTAAAATGGTAAATTATATTATAAATACTTTACCACAATAAAAACCAAAACACAATGTGATGTGTGCTATAAGAAAGGCAAGCCCAGCTATCTCTGGGTGGACAGAGGAGGGGCCTCACAGGGTAATACTGGAATTTGTCTTACAGGAGAAGTAGAGTCAGCCAGGTGGAGAAGTGGGGAGGAGACAAGAGAGAGCACCAGTCCCTCATGTCACGAGTCACTGATCTCGAGGATTTGTCCCATCATAACGTTGATTGGTAAAGCCTTGGGACCTGGAGCAATTGTGAAGGGAGAGGGAGGTGGCAAGGTAGTATAGACGCCAGCAGGGGAGTAACCTGAGCTTTTCCAGGGAAGCGGAGTGGCAGCGCCAAGCCAGGGATCATCTTTCCAGCATCCAGCTCCCAGGGCTATTCCTCATCTGCCTCTCACCCTGAACCTGTTACTTCAATAAACCATAGTGCTTTAGTATCACAAGCAAGCCCCACCATGGCCAGTGAGGCCCCCCAAAATACCTGCCATCTTTCACAAGATAATTTGGATGCAAAGATCTACCTCTCTGGCATGCATGTAAAAGCATGGGCATGCCCTCAAACAAAATAAAAAGAAGTGACTCAGCACTAATGAATCCTGAACTCTGGGCTAAAGTTAAAAAAGAGAAAGCCAGGAAGGACAGGCCGATGGACACAGGCATCAATGCAGCTAAGCCAACCCGTTTCAAAGTTGTGGAGCCAAGACCTGCAGAAGGCCTGTGGGAGACACAGATGGATGACCCCGTTCGTATCCTTCACTAGCCCCGAGTAGAAAGCAGGACCCAGGGATGCTGACCAGAGCAAAGGGAAAAGACAAAGATGCTATAACTTTCAGAATCCAGGTCTGTTTGGGAGGCCGAGGGTGGCAGATCACCTGAGGTCAAGAGTTCGAGATTGGCCTGGCCAACATGGTGAAACCTCATCTGTACTAAAAATACAAAAAATTAGCCAGGTGTGGTGGTGAACGCTTGTAATCCCAACTACTCCGGAGGCTGAGGCAGGAGAATCACTGGAATCCAGGAGGCAGAGATTGCAGTGAGCTGAAATCATGTGACTGCACTCCAGCCTGGATTACGGAACCAGACTCTGTCTCAAAAAAAGGAATTCGGGTCTGTGTTTCCTGTCTGTGTGCAAGAGTCAAATTTCCCTCAGTTCAGCAGTGTGAACTAAGGCTCTCCATCTTTCCCACACTTTTCTGAAATGTCAGATGAATAAGAACAAAGGAAACCACGCTCACGGTCTCTGATTTGGACAGGCTCACGGGCTGCTCCGGGGTCCCACCCCACAATTCCAAAAGGTTGTAGGTGATTCCAATGGCATAGATGCTAGGATGTATAAAATTGTGCAGGGATGAAACTATTGTGTAAGGGAGGTGGTCATTTCGATGACCTAAAAACAGAAGTACTCAGACACCCCTCAACAAAGAGTCTGAAGTTAACTTGTCCACCCCGTGAAGGGCCTGGGCTTGTGTTCTCCTTCATTGATCTCTTCCACCAGCAATTCCCCAGCCAATCATCTGCCCCCATTAAACTTGCAAGAGGCTTCGCTGAACAGCTGTGGCTGACTCCCACCACTAAAGAGTTGGGGCCCTGAGCCATCTGCTGCCCCAACCCCCATTCCCAGCCTCCTGCTGGGTTCCCCAAGCACACGTTTCATCTCCTTTGTGGGAAACAGGGAGGAGGATGACAGGAGGGTTGGAAAGGGGCCTCAGTAAGGTTCAAGTTTCCATTTTTAAAATGTCAGCCAAGGCACCTGTGGTCAATCTTGTTTCAGATCAGGCCTGCAAGTGTTCCCCAGACTCCAGAGTGGCACAGAGATTCCCCTTCCCACAAAAATCTCCAGGAGACCCAGAAAACAGACTAGATCAATCCTCCTGTCCCCAGTATGATTCTGAACCACACGTCCTTCCACTGGCCTCTCCATCTCCTTTCTCTTCTGGTTTTCCTTCTAACTCTCTGACCTTCCTTCTCAAGTCTCTTTCTTGACCTCTTTGTACCCAACTAGACCAAAAAATATTGATTTCATCTTTGATCTTTTTCCCTTCTCACTTCTTGAACAGTAAGCATAACCCCCTAATCACAGCTCCTAAATTCACATTTCCAGTGCAGATTCCCCTGTGAGCTCCACACTGTAGATACATCATCCCGATATCCCAAAAAGCACCTCAAATTTAATATGTCCAAATCTGAGCTCATCTCACCCTAAGTCTGATCCTCCCCTTGAGGTCCTTCCCTTGGACTGTGGCATTATCACACAAGCCAGCAATGTGGAGTCACTGCCTTTCTCCAATAACTCCTCCCATCTAAGCAGTCCCCAAGTGGTGGTGATGACAGACGCCACCGTCCCTTCCCTCCTTCACTGCCACTGTCTTAGTCCAGGTCTGCATTGACACAGCTCACTTCTCTGCCACTGTCATTCCTCCGGCTTATCCTGCAGTCTATTGCCCAACTGAGAAACCTAAAGTCGTTGACTCCTTCCTCAACTCCTGCATCTAGTTGGCCTGCAAGTCCTATAAATTCTATCTCCTTGATCGCTCTTAAAACAATTCTCTGAAATCCGCTCCCATGCCCAGGGCCATGAGTCTAGTGTCACCATTCCCTCATGTAACAGCTCCCAATGGGCTTTGCTGATCCAGCCCAGCCTTCCCCACTCTGTCCTTCAGCCTGTCCTTTGGAGAACCACCTCTCTAGAGCACATACCTGAGCACGCCACACCTCTGCTTCAGAGCTTTCATCTGGGTTGCCCATTGCCTTTTGGAAAAAAGTCATTTCTCAGCACAGCACTCAAGGACCTAACTAGTCTTGCCTGGAACCACCCCTCAAGCTCCTGTATGGCAGTGTTTCCTTTTCCACTGTCCCTTCCAGCCATTCATCCCATAGGACTTGGGAGTGTCTTTGCTCTTCTATCTGATCACGTTCAATTGCCATCACCACCAATATGCTGATGCCATCACAGTTTCCCTGAACCATATTCCTCTCAGGCTGAAGAGCCAGGAGTTTGGCGGAAAATGGAACAGAAAGTGTGGAGAAGCTAGACCCTTGTCTTAGCTGTAGGTTCTGTCAAGTCAGGATACACCACCACTGCTTGGGCTCCTCCACACGCCACTCTTAGAATTTTCCCTTGCAGACTGGGCACGATGGCTCCTGCCTGTAATCTCAGCACTTTGGGAGGCTCAGGCGGGCAGATCGCTTGAGCTCAGGAGTTTGAGACCAGCCTGGACAACATGGTGAAACCCCGTCTCTACCAAAAATACAAAACAAAACAAAAAAATTAGCCAGGCATGGGGGCATGCGCCTGTAGTCCCAGCTACTCAGGAGGTTGAGGTCAGAGGATCACTTGATCCTGGGAGGCAGGGGTTGCAGCGAGCTGAGATCATGTCACTGAATTTTCAAAGAATTTCCCTGGAGATGGGTTTGGATACCAGCACTCTTGGCTCTGGTCGCATTTCCCCGTGAGTGTCTTTCCTGCTGCAATGTCATATTAATGCATAGAACAGCCACATACGCTCTCTCTAGTCCCTCCAAGTTAGAATTCTCTCAGTGAATCTGCAAGGTCACTGGCCTGACAGCTGGGCCTGATGGGTGCCGCAGCTCACAGGTTAAACTAATATTGGTCCAAGAAGCCAAGCATTGATTTGGTTCAATTCTACATGGTGAGAGTTAAAGACATGAACCAGCAGAGTTTGACACTTTCCTCAGAGGAGATAATGGGCATCATCTCTGTGAATTTACAAGGTGAAAGGCACAGCTGGCCCCATTGTGAAGCCACCATTTATGGAGTAAACTGAAGCATACATAACTTAAAGGATACATGCCCAGGATGACAGCTTCAAGGCATTTGATAGGCAAGGACTCTCGGGTCATTTCTTTTGCTGTTTCCATTAACCTGTAGGATAGAGCACAGCGGAGGATCTCAGAACCTATTTAATTATACACTCGGTCAGTCTGTCAATCCTTCAGCATGCCTATCCCCACACCAGGAACCACGCAGGACCACAGAGGGAAAAGGGAAAACTCACCTCACAGAAGGCACCAAAGCACAAGAGTTAATTCCTGGAGTTAGTGCCAGCATTCCATAGCACCCTCCTGCTGTAACACCAGGACAGGGGGCATTACCATAGAACAAATAGAGGAGGCCTCATGGAGCAGAGTTTACAAGCCTCCTCCATCCTGGGAGTTAGATTTCACCACTGAACTCAGCTGTCAGAGTGGCCCGGTCCTCAGTCCCACCTCTAACCTAGCCCTGGGGCACCCTCCACCTCCACCCCTGACAGACTAGGATATCTGAGCCCTGGGCTACCGGAATAGAGGTTGGGAGAGGGAGCTGGCGGCTTGAGGGTAGGAGAGAGATATCTGGCCACAGATCATGCACCACTTACCCACTCAGCGGTCTCATTTTCCTAATTTCAAAGAACTGGGTCCCTGTGTGATTGTATCTGTGTGAAGTATGTAAAGGGAAAGTGACAGAAAACTCCAAGGTCCCAGTAATGCAGCAGAGAAAGCTATGCATTCTGATTTCTCAATGAGATAAGGATGTGAGGGCTTTTCAGAAGTCACCAGCACCTGGAAGGTAACCAGTAGCCTCTAACTCCTCACTATCCTGCCCTGCAAATCCAATTTCTAACTTAGGCTGCAAAGTACCACGGTCCTTTATAATAGCTCTTTTCAATTTGCTCTGTATTCTGGGTAGTTGAATATTTGTCTTAATTCACCTACTAGACTACAAGCTCTTTGAAAGTTGGTACTATTCTTTTAAAAAAAAAAATTTTTTTAAAACATGGTCTTGCTAGGTTGCCCAGGCTGGTCTTGAACTCCTGCGCTCAAGTGATTTTCCTGCCTCAGCCTCCCAAGTAGCTGGGACCTCAGGCATGCACCACCATACCTAGCTGGAACTATTTTTTTATTATCTTTAATATCACCCATAAAACCTGGCAGAAGGCCAGGCGCAGTGACTCATGCCTGTAATCCCAGCACTTTGGGAGGCTGAGGTGGGTGGATCACCTGAGGTCAGGAGTTCGATACCAGCCTAGCCAACATGGTGAAACCCAACCTCTACTAAAAATACTAAAATTAGCCAGGTGTAGTAGCACGGGCCTATAATCCCAGCTACTCAGAAGAGTGAGGCAGGAGAATCACTTCAACCCAGGAGGCGGAGGTTGCAGTGAGCCGAGATCATGCCACTGCACTCCAGCCTGGGCAACAGAGCAAGACTCTGTCTCAAAAAAATAAAAAAATAAATAAATAAATAAAACCTCCTAGCAGAAACCCAGCATATGCAGGTTTAGCAAATATTATTAAATGAATGAGGAATACATGAATGGATGGATATATGGATGGATGGAAAGGTGGATGGATGAATGAGTGTATGGATGGATGGAAAAGTGGATGGATGAATGAGTGGATGGATGGAATGGAAGGATGGGTGGAGATGGATGGAAGCAAGGATGAAAGGGTGGATGGATAGCAGTAGGGTTTTTCAGTAGCGCACAGACTCTGCAGCAGGTCTTACTGTGGAGATGCCACTTCTTTTTCAAGCCTGTGCTGGCACTTGGCATTGATTACTAAATCTGAGAAGCTGCACCATTATTCACTATCTGGGATTTAGCTGACTACCCAGAGGTCTCAGGGACTGGCAAGCTTGCCCCAAGTCGTTCTGAAGGAGGTGAGATGTTCACTGACGCGGTGCTCTCTGACTGGGTTTTGACTTTTCTGAGCCTAATGAGAAGTTGCTTTGTAGGGTTTGCTTTTCTCCTCGAACAAAATCCTATAGGAAAAGTGCACATTGGGAACGTGCTAATGAAGCCTCAACTTCTATACCCAGAGCTGCTGTAGGCCAGGTGAGTGTGGGAGAGTCAATGGGTGCCCCACAGTGACAGCGGCGCCTAGAGGCACCTCGCACTCTCCTGAGAAGGGCTGGGATTCCTCTCCTGGTGCAGCCGTGCTTGGTCATGGAAAACTCCCTGGAGAGCTCAGTATAAGCAGATTCTGGGCTCCAGCCCGGGAGAGCCTGATTTCAGGCCATCATTCATAACCCCGGTTGCCACTCAGAGTCACCTCACCTCAGATGACTGAACTGGAAGCTCCAGGGTGAGGGCTGGGGGGCCTCCCAAGATCAAGGTTTGAGAGTTACTGATCTGGGCCATAAGAGTAACAACTAACCACGCAGGCTTGCCCAGTTTTTAAAACATGCAACATACAAAATCCTAGAAGGAAAAGAGAAAAACGAAGGGCTAAATATTCTTATTGTGAAGTGCTTTCTTTACCTCACCAAACATTGTATTCAAGCAAAGAGGTTCCTGGTACATGAAGTGGAATTCAATGGGCAAAAATTCAGTTCTATGCCCAACTTTCCTTCACTTGCATACCTCATTAATAAATCTAGTATATCAAGTGAGACAAACACATAACAAAATAATAAAAAAAAATTGTACCTGAAAATCTTTTTTCAGCTCCTTAATCATTGAGCCCCTGAAAGTGGGCTGGGGAGAGGTCTGCTCTACACACGCCCTGAGGGGAGAGCTCACTAAGCCCAAGTTTGCTGAGTTTGCTGTTAGAAGGCTTCTCCCCCATCCAGCATGCCAGCACGCCAGCACGCCAGCACTCCTGTTGGTTTTTGCTCGAGGATGTCTGAGGGGAAGGCAGGAGCTGTCCTTTCCTATCCCCACTGCCAGCTGAGCACATCCACAGTCAGGACTGACGCCAAGCAGTCCCCATCCCCTGCCACCTGTCACTGTGTCCAGGACAAAGCAGTAGGGAGTCCCAAGGAACTAAATAAAAGCCAGGTCAGAAGGTAGAAGAGTTGATGCCCTGCCTTCCTCATGCAATGGCTCCAGGGGGCAGGTGGCCGGGAGCATGTCACCACAGCCTGCTTGTGCTTCCCTTCTGTGGTCCTCTCTGCAGTCACTGATGCTGTCGGTCACTGACCTTTGCAGTCATAATGGGTCAGAGAAGAGAAAAATGGAAAAGCAGATCCTTCAGGGCAACCGTGAAAATGTGGCTGAGAATGTGCTGTCAGGTTTACAGCAGTGTGAGCAAATGATATGTAAAGCACATGCAAATTTGCCCCTATCAATGCTTTCCCAGCCAGGCTAATTCTCTTAGCTCTCAGCCAGATGATCCTCATGAAGACCATGTCTTAGATAGAAGTGGGGAGACTTAAAGCCTATAATCAGTTGACTTTAAGTTAAAAAAAAATTGAGGAGGCATTCTAATTGCTGTCACCTTCTGGAAGAGTCTATGAGGAGTCAGTCACATCCAGAAAGGGCCAGCTCTTGGGGTCCAGGTCTGCTCTGGCAAGAGCTTGTGCCTCAGGACCATGTGGAACGTCCCCATGCAGGTGCTAGAGTGAGGATCAGCACAAACACCAGATAGCCTTCCAAGCGCTAGGGCTGCCAGCCTCTGTCTTGGAGACTGGGGCTACCTCTTCCTTCTGATATTGCCTTAGGGTTTTACTGGGAAGATGCCATGTTGGGGAGTTGATGATCCGTGAAGTGAAAACAGAGAAGCCAGTCAAGTAATGTCCCTACCCAAATGAGCAGACATTGGTGTTTTCCGATCTAGTAACACCAAGCCCTGTGGAGGAGGTGCTAATGTTTTGTCCCAGCAGGGAAGACACAAAAATCCACCAGAAAGATTCTTACTATAACACAGAGCAGAGGGGCTTTCCTGGGACGTGTGGAGCATGTGTGCAGTGCCCTCTGAAATCCTTTCTGCTTCAGGGCTGGGTATGGACAGACAAACAGAAAGCCGGTCCACGTGCCTGGAACCTTGCAGAACAGGCTATGTGTTATACATTTACGGAGGAAGGACAGAGGTCCACAGAAGCTTGACCTCCTGGACAACGTACTGGGGTTCAGCTTCTCATCTGACTCCTCTCCATATAAAATACCAGAAGGGGCAGGTGGACCATCCACTCCTGCCCCTCTGTCCCTATAGTGTTGTTCGTGGGAGTTCTCAGAACTGATCTAATCCTGACTGCAAACACCTGCGGGTGTGGAGGAGCAACGTACCAAACCAGCTCATCTGAACTCACACTGCAGCCAGTGAGTTTCTTAGCTCTGCCTCAAGCTCAAGTTGGGGGAGAGGGCCCCCAATCCCAGAACCCCAAACAAGCAGCTCACCAGCCTGGCTCACCTGGGGAAACAAAGGCAGCACCAGGTGGGCCTACTGTAGATCATGAGCAGTCAGGCATGAGAGCAAAACAGAGAAAGAGAAAAGGAATGGAAGAGTAGGAGGGAAGAAGGTAACAGGCAGGGGAGGGCTGGGTGTGGGGCCTCAGGCCTGTAATCCCAGCACCTCGGAAGCTGAGGCGGGCCGATCTCTTGAGGTCAGTTCGAGACCAGCCTGACCAACACAGTGGAGACTCTGTCTCACTAAAAACACAAGAATTAGTCAGGTGTGGCAGCGGGCGCCTGTAACCCCAGCTACTCGGGAGGCTGAGGCAGGAGAAGTGCTTGTACCCAGGAGGTGGAGGTTGCAGTGGGTGGAGAGTATACCAACACACTCCAGCCTGGGTGACAGAGCAAGTCTTCATCTCAAAAAGAAAAAGAAGAAAGACAATGGAGGAGAACAGGATGAGGGGAACAAAGGTGACCAGGAGGAAGTGGAGAAAGAGGAGAAGATAGAAGGAAGAGGGGTGCTCAGGGGGAAAAGGACAGGGACAGGGAAGAGGAGGGAGAAAGAGAAGCCAGAGGGGCTCAAGGTGGACCAGCCTGCCCCACTGGATCACTGCAATGACATCATCCATGCACACTCTTTCTAGACTCCTACCTGGAGCATCCTCCACGCCTTGCCTCACCAACCTTAGAGAGCTTTTGATGACCAGCTGGGGACAGATCAGCCACCAGGCTTGCGATCACCATGCCCGTCCCCTGGCTGGGTGTGCTCACACCTTGGTTGGAAGGATACTGTAGTGTTTTCATGTAATTCTGGATCGCCTGGAGCCAGTCTGGGATCGTCATAGACAGCCTGTAGTTTGGGACCTGGGGTATTGAAGGCTGCAGAGAAATAGAGAAGAGGAAGTGTTTATTAAGGAGGTACTCTGGGGCCCAGCTTCTGGGGGCAGGCACAGGGCTGAAGCCACCAGAGAAAGAGGTGCTGCTGAGAGCTGATGGCAGCATGGTCACCCTGGCGTGGTCACCTGATTGAGCAGTGCCTCCTCCATGAGGTCTCCCGGGAACAGTGGATCCCTCATGGAAGTTCTCCCTTTTTGAGTTCCCTCTGAGTCATGGTGGTTCTCTATGGGCCTCTGGGTGCTGAGTGATCCAGACTTCTTCCCTGCAGGAGCCTAACGCCTCCTAGAGGGGAAGAACCACGTTCTATCAAGTCCCCCCACCGAGCCTGGCCCGGGATGGACACGAAAGCACTCCATCAATGACTGCATAACGCCTTTTGCTGCATGGCAAATGGTGATCCACTACAAGAGCTCTACTGCAGGGCAACATTTACACAGAATAGAAAGTGAATGGATGCCGGGCGCCGTGACCACGCCTGTAATCCCAGCTCTTTGGGAGGCTGAGGTGGGTGGATCACATGAGCCCAAGAGTTTGAGACCACCCTGGGCAACACGGTGAAAGCCGCTCTCTAAAATTAAAATACATACATACATAAAGTGAATGAATGGTGCCCCGGAGAATTACAACACGGCACCACGTGTGCCACATCAATACCACCCTCCCTGCAATGCCCAGTGTGTCCCTTTCCCGGAGTCCCGCCCCAGTGCAGCTCCTGTGACTCACAAGCCGTCTTACCACTCTCCCCCTCACGGCAGCTCTGGCAGCACCTTCACTTCCTAGTCTGCCCCTCAGTCAACACTCCCTGAATGTCTACAATCGAGCAGACAAAGTCCTAATCCCTGCCAGGAGGGGAAAGGACCAAAGGCAGGCAAGGACTGGAAAGGGGGAAGCAGGTCCTTCTTCTTGGGAATTTAGAGCTTTTTGAGATACCCACTCGGCTCTGAGCAGCCCTACCCTGACGACCAAGAGCAAGAACGGACAGGGACATCCGATCAAGTCACTGCTGAAGAGCCAGGCACGGTGCGGGGTTTTCTTGGTTGGTTTTGTTTTTTGCTTTATTTCCCCTATATGTTTCTGGGTCTCCTGACCTCTGTCTCTCTGGGGGTTGGGGTCCTTGGTGACAGAGAATCTCAGTCCACGTGGGTGGGGCTCTGGCTTTTGCTGCTACTGGGAAGGAGAAAAGAGACTCCTCTAAGCCAAGCCACTTAGGGAGAAGCAGAAAAGGCCTGAGGACGGGTGAGGCCCATCCACAGAGAAAACAGGGCAAGGGAGGCTCTGGGGATTTGGTGCTCCACTGATGGAAGGGGACGCTGCTGGGGAGACACGGGGATGGCCCTGGGCAGCCAGGCCAGGCAGCAGAGCCAGATGCTGCCTAAGGCCGTTCGTGGCTCTCTCCCCGGCTCTCCAGGCATGAGCCCAGTGTGAGGCTGAGGGCACGCTGCCCCCCGCGTGGGCATCAGGCTCCTTCCATACTTCCACCCCGCTGGCTGCATTTACTGCAAATACTCCTTGACATTCCGTTCCTCTCACTGCCTCATTTCTCTCTTGGCTTCGAAATGTCCTACTTCATAGCAACTGCCTCCTCCGCTGGAAGGAAACTCATCAGAATCACACTTCCTACATTACAGCCAAGGTGTTCGGTGTGTGTGTGAGCATGTGTGTGTGAATGTGTGTGTGCACATGCAGGCACAACTATTCTGCAAGCTACATTTTGTTTACAACATGTCAACCCGAATCACTCACATTTCTGTCTGAGAGAGTCATTTTGGGGGGCAAAGCACTCAATATTTGCTCCCGTGACTCACACACACGCGGGCGCACACACACACACACACGCACACACACAAAGTTAAAATGTAAAGTGTATCCTGTATTTCTGCCCTAACATATACTAGAAAGTGTTCCATGTAAAAAAAAAAAAAAGCATGCCAGAGATTTCGCAAAGTGAGGAGGAAAGGGGAGACGTGAACAAAACTGTCTTTGGCACCTCAGGAGAGAAAGCCCAGGAGCAGAGGCAGGGAGGAGGGGAATGGAATTCCAGTTTATTAAGACATACACAAGCCAGGCACGGTGGCTGCCTATGTCTTAATAAACTGCGTATGTTGTAATCCCAACACTTTGGGAGGTCAAGGTGGGCAAATTGCTTGAGCCCAGAAGTTGGAGACCAGCCTGGGCAACATGGCGAGACTCCATCACTACAAAAAAAAAAAACATTAACGGAGCATGGTGGCATGTGCCTGTAGTTTCAGCCAGTCAGGAGGCTGAGGTAGGAAGATGGCTTGGGTCCAGGAGCTCAAGGCTGCAGTGAGCCGTAAATGAGCCACTGCACTCCAGCTTGGGTAACAGAGCAAGAAGCTGTCTCCAAAAAAAAAAAAAAAAAAAAAAAACAGACATAAACATTTCTGCACAGAAAAGCTCAGTCTGAACCTCCTTAATAGAAAAGCTGGTAATCGTAGGAAAATGCCCGAGTTACCCCAGAGACCCCCAGAGGGGTATCCCCAGGCCAGAGCTTTGCTGCAGCCAGTGACTTGGTTAAAGAGTCTGCTGAGGGGGCTGAGCACCAAATTATTTCAACCCCCCTCAAGCCCAACACAGCCCACGAGAGCTGGATGGCAGGGTGGGAGCAGGGTGGGAGCGGGGTGGCAGCTGGTCCTCAGAATAGCAGCCCAGTGGCTTTTAAAAACAGCTGCATGGTTACCTCAGTCTGGCTGTGAGCAGAGTACAGGAGCTGTGGCCACACTTCCTCCCCACTGGGAGGACAAAAGTATACATTCCCCAAGTCCCAGCCAGGGGCAGGGGTGTGGGGAGAGGCCTGGAGACCGCAGAGGGAATGATGTCATAGGCTACAGATGGCTGTGAGGTCTGGGAGAGCTGGCTAGGCTCAGCTTGGGGGTTTCACTTCCAACCAGCGCCTCAGGCTGTCAACATTCCCACTGGCATGGACTGTAAACCAGGTGGGCTTCCTGGAGAAGGAAGATATTAGGAGACACATACAACGAGGTCCAAAGCCCTGCTCTGCCACCTACTAGCTGTGGGCCCTGGTCAAGCTGCATGACCTCTCTAAGCCTCTGTTTTCTTCCTGATAAAATGGGAATAGTATCACCTACTTCCAACCTTCCAAGCTGGTTGTAAGCGTTATATGACCTGATGCAAAAGTAGGCAGCTTGGGGCTTGGCACACGGTGCTCATTAAGTGTAAGCCGTGTAGGCCAGGCGACATGGCTCACGCCTGTAGTCCCAGCACTTTGGGAGGCCAAGGTGAGTGGATTGCTTGCAGTCAAGAGTTCGAGACCAGCCTGGCCAACACGGTGAAACCCCGGTTCTATTAAAAATACGAAAATTAGTTGGGCATGGTGGCGTGTGCCTATAATCCCAGCTACTCAGAAGGCTGAGGCAGGAGAATTGCTTGAACCTGGGAAGTGGAGGTTGCAGTGATTGAGCCACTGCACTCCAGCCTGGGTGACAGAGCAAGACTCTATCTCAAAAAAAAAAAGAAAAAGTGTAAGCTGTGTGATTATTCATCACCAATATATTGTCAGGGGTCCAGGTTGGGTAAGCCTGAATGACCCATACTTTTCTGGAACTGGAAAACAGAATCAGCTGCAGTAGAGTCCCTAGACATTCAACCTGGGAGCTTCAAATCATGAAGACACACTCTCACCTTGATGGAAGAGGATGAAAATGTTCACTTCTCCCTAGGGGTGCATTGGTGACAATGAGTTAATATCCTTAATTCGTGAAGAGTTCATACAAAGTGACAAGAAAACTCTTTAGGACTCAGTGAAAATAAAAATGGTCCCCAAAGGTGGAAGCCACCCAAGTGTCCATTGAAAAAAATGGTTTAAGTCTCTAATTATATAAGAAATGCAAATTAAAGCTACTGCAGAATGTCAGTTTTCACCTCTCCAATTAGCAAAAATGTGCTGAAATGCAGATACCCAATGCTGGTGAGGATGCTCTCCTACAGGACTGAGGCAAACATAAATTGGTGCAACCTTCTTAGCAAAAGCCCAGGGCACATTCCTTTCTTTCTGTTCGAGACTAGGGCCTGCAGAGTCCCTCCTCCTCCTATTTTCCTTCCAGATTTCATCAATTAGTGTACTACCTGAAACTCCAACGTTGATTTTCTGTAGCCCCTCCCCTCAAGGGTTTCACCACCTGTTGCCTACATCAGCCCCACAGCTGTGGCCACGCTGATGAAGGCAGAATCTAGAGGAAACAGATAGAAACCAACCTCTTCACACAGGCATTGCACCTGTGTTCTAGGGGTGGGGTCCCTAGAAAACTTGGGGGATAGGGGGCAGGAGGAGGGAGTGGAGTGGAGAAGGATCAAGAAGGTTCAAGAAGAAGAAGAATGAAACAAACCACAGGCAAGGCTCTTATGGGTAGCCTCTCTTCCACTCTGTTCTTGTCAAGCACAGTTGACCTGTCGGAAGACTTCAAGGGAAGTGATACGGATGCACACAGTTGTGTAACTGACATTGCCATGTGGGAGAGAAAGGAAAGGCCAGGAAAGGAGCCAGGGAGGCAGCAAGAACCCCAGGCACTAGGAATCTTTAACAAGAAATTCAAAACCTTTTGTCATCCCTACTCTGAAAACACTATGCAGGCATCAGGCAGAACAATCTTCTTTGACGACTTGGGAAGAGAAACACAAAACAGCACCCACGTGTCCAGGATGAGTCCCAGGCTCCTGCAACAGAGGTAGCCAGGAATCTGTGAATGGCCTGGGGCAGAGGTGCAGGATGGGCAGACAGACAGGAGGTTCTGAACCCAGGACTGGGGAGGGAAGACGCTGCCCACAAGAGCCAGCAGCAGGCAGGGATGGCCCTAGACTGCAGCCAGGTCTCCAGTACCAAACACTCACATGTCTTCACTCAGGTGAAGCTCAGGCCTCTAAATGTGAATTATTTTCCAATTGGGAATCAACAAGCGAATAAGGCGTACAAAGTGGGGTCTGCAAGAAACCAACTGCTGTTTCTTGCTGAACCCATCCTGGTTTTCTGCCCCAATGAGAGTCCAGTTCCAGGCTGTTAAGAAACAGGACGATTGTCCTAGAATTTCCCTAGAATGCCCACTGTTTTCTTATGGGCTGGCCACTCTCTCTGACCCTCCCTTCCCATCTGCTATGATCCTCCAACTGATTCTTGCTGTTTCCTTAAAGTCTCCCTGAAAAATCCTGCCTTTGACTTGGTCAACTGCTAACTTCAGATCCAACAACCAGCAGGGGCGAGGCCTGCAGTCACAAATTTAGAAGGAGGATCTCAAAGCAGGGAATCCCTGCAAGGTGGGGACATCTGGACCTTCAGGCAGAAGTTACCATGGCTGCTAAAGGAATGTCCTGTAGTCAAAGGCAGTGTCATTTCGTACCCCACACAGGCCCTTGAAAACCTTCCCCATCCCCTTCTTTTGCTTCTTCGTCTACATTCAGTGGCCAACAATGGTTAATCCCCCTGAAGCCCTCCAGCCTTTTACCACCACCACTACCCTGCCACCCTGCTTCTGTACAAATTCCTCAGTAAGATATTGATTTGGTTGATGGAGAAAAGGACTTGGCCCCAGAGGAAAGAGTCTGCCAAGCTGAGCACAGGAACAACCCTCTAATCCAAGAGGAGTGGTCCCTGGAAAAGGGAGCTTTTGAGGCTCTTCCATGTTAAGGCCTGGGCAGGGGTCAGGCCTTGGGGAATGTCGGGGCCAGGGGAGACACCAAGATGGGACTGGGGATAGAGGACCAACCATCAAGATGCAACGTGAGAGAAATGTTAAGTTCTTTATATTTAGGGCCAAAACGCTGACTGTCCACATTTGAGCTGGTGATCCCTGGCCTGGAAGCAGTTTTCGTGTGACCTTCTGGTTACTATGAAAAGTACAATATGATGTGGCCACGGTACAAAAAAGGGAACACTTAAGCACACAGCATTCAGCTGCAATAACGGAAATGTCAGGTCCAGGTCTTGGGAGGTAGCAGTCTGTGTTCTAAACCGCTCAGGCAGGATTTAGAACATTGTGTTTCACATGTTCTTGCGAATGACTAATGACAGACTAGGAATTGTCTCAGAAGGAGAAGAAGGGTGAGTTGGTCTGGGAACTATGACACATAAGAAAGGGCAAAAGGCCAAGTGCGGTGGCTCATGCCTGTAATCCCAGCACTTTGGGAAGCCAATGCAGGAGAATCACTTGAGCCTAGAAGTTCGAGACCAGTCTGGGCAACACAGTGAGACCTTGTCTCTACAAAAATTTGTTTTAAAGTTAGCCAGGTTGGGTGGTACATGTCTGTAGTTCCGGCTATACTCAGGAAGCTGAAGTGGGAGGATTGCTTGAACCTGAGAGGTTGAGAGTGCAGTGAACCATGATCACACACTGCACTCCAGCCTGGGTGACAGAGCAAGACCTTGTCTAAAAAAAAAAAAGGAAAGAAAAGAAAAGAAAAAAGAAAAGAAAGAAGGAAGGAAGGAAGGAAAGAAGGAAGGAAGGAAAGAAAGAAAGGGCAAAAGAGCTACCTATGGACAAACAAGGCTAAAGGAGGAAGCAGAAACAGAGGACAGAAAGTCACAGTCCTCATGGCTCATAGTCCAGCAGACCTCTAACATCATACAGATCAGCATCAGAGATCTGGAGACTCACGAGTCATAACATCATGAGATTTTAGAGTTGGAAAAAACTTATGAAATCTGGTCTATTCCCATGTTATAGGTGAGAAAACTAAGGGCAGAGATTTTACGTGAATGACCTCATTTAGGTGAGGCACAAGGCTAGATGTCATACAACCAAGATTGGGATTCAGTCCCTTGATGTTTACTCCAAATCCCTGAGAGCACTCTCTCGTAACATTCAAGGATGCTGTGCATAGCAAAGAAAGCTGAAAATGCTCTGCCCTGATTCAAAACAACAATCAGCGATGAAATGTGATTTGGGGGTGGCAGGCGGTGGCAAGAAGAATTTATGTTTGATCTAAGAGCTTCCTAACAGTCAACTCTGGCCCGGCCTAAGATCAGCTGCCCTGGGAAGCGGCAAGCCCCCCATTCCCAAGAGGTCTTCAGAAAGAGGAGGGGATTCTGTTGAAAGGTGGGGGACTGGTCTCTACCAATAGGAAAATTCCATGATTCCCACATAGAGAATGCACACCCGTCCCGTACACAGTGGGGGGAAGGACGAAAGCACAATGAGAGGCAGTGTTGGTGCTGGTGCTACTAAGAAAGACAGCATGGGGACAGTAGGAACAGGTGTTTTTTTCCCTTGTGGTCACTTTTCTTCCAAGCTTAAGGGCTCTCAGCTCCTCACTGGAGGAAACACTTTCAAGTCAGAACTGCAGACCAGGAGCAATGTTGTTCTCATGTTCAAGGAGAACTCAGCAAGGGTAATTATGGTTGACACTAGAGCAGGCAAGATTCTAGTTGGACATAATGAAGATCTCTTTGACCAGCCACATAATAAAACACTGTAACTGACAGCAGCAGGAAGTTTAGAGGCTCTGTCACTTCCCCAAGGACATACACAGTTTTCTGGCCTGAAGGCTCAGATGCTCAGCTGTCACCAGGCTGGGGACTCAACCAGATGGCCTTCCAGGTCTCAAGTCTGGGATTCCTAGATCTGCCCAGGAATCTTGTCAGCCGTACCAGTATCCCCAGGTTCCAGGGGAAACCATCCGCCAGCGATAACCCCGAGGCTTGGTGGCATTTCTTCAAACTTTGCATTTTGATGTTTCATATAATGTATCTACTCCCACCAGGGGACATCTCCCTGCCTCAGTAACAATATCCTTGGCCACCAAACCCAAATGGCTCACTGGCTTCTCTCCAAGGCAAAAAGAGAGTTTCACTCTTCAGCCTCTTTTTCTGTCCAGTGAGACTAATTCATCATGTCTACGGGAAAATCCCTTTTAAGTTTCAGCCAAAAGTCTTTCTTTTTTCTTGGAGCCCAAATAAGCTGGGAAGAGAGAGAGAGTTCACTGTTTTGCAAGTTTCAGAGGTGAAAGTCACTGTCATGAAAAAAGAAGAAAAAAATTGGCAAAAAGTCTGGAAATGATTCACACTGAGAAGTCTGACTGGTTGATTTCAAATTCATTCACAGCTTAATAAATCATTTGCTGGGGGAAGAGGGGAGCAGAAGAGGAGTAAGACACTCCAAAGAGAACATGCCAAGTGGGATCCCTGGGGTCTATGTATTCTTTGGAATCGCTGGTACCTGGTGGCTCTACCTTTTGCTGAAAGAGGATGTACCTGGGGTGAGTAAATAATAGAGTTTGGCTGGAGGTTCAAAGACATCTTGACACAACCCAATTACACAGTCCCAGGATAGCAAGCCCACCACCTCTCCTTTCCCCATTCTTTAGCCTTCCAAGGTAAACATCTCAATTAGAAAAGGGCTGGCAGGAAGGAATGAGGAGAGGACGGGAGTTTGTAGCAGGACGAGGAAAATGGAGATTGCTTCTATTTGCTATGTATAGACTGAAACGGTCCCATTGCTGCCCACCTACCCCCAGACCCCCAACCCCGCCCTGGAAGCCACTGACCTTTGCCAAGAAGGTGGCATTCCTGATGGCGCCCACCATTTCTCCCCCCTTGGGGTGCACCTTGGCCACGTGCATCCACATGCGCTCCCAGGTGTGGCTGTCGATGGGGAAGCCGCTCTTGTTAACGTGGAACAGCACTCCACCGTCTTTGTCCTCCTCCTCCGAGCCCCCGCTGGTGGCGAGGCTCACCGGCCGCGCGTGGCTGCTCCTGGACCGGGTGCCTTTGGCGCCTTTGGTGTGGGGGCAGCGGTGAGTGTCAGCCGCGGAGCCGGTCATGGTGGGGCCTGGGCGGGGAGCGAGGTGCTGGGGGCGCGCGGTGGCGGCTGCTGCGGGGGGCGTGTGCGCGCGGGCGCGGCGCAGGGATCAGCGCCCCGCAGGGGCGGCCTTCTCCATGCCTTTCGCTGCGGCAGGACGCGCCAAGAGGGAGCGGCGGCAGGAGCTCCTCCGAGGCTCCCTGCCTACCGGCGGTGCCTGAAATCAGCGGAGACACAGCTGACACCACGGCTAAGTGGACACCCAGAGGAACCGAGTAAGGGGCCCCAGAGTGTCTCCCCCGCGCTCCCCCATGCACGCTGACAGTCTCCCTGGGAATCGATAACGGGCTTCCAGCTCTGCAACTACCTAGAAAGGCAGCCCAAAACGTGCCACGAAGCTTCTTACACACCTAAACCCCCGGCGGGGGATGGGGATGGAGGGGGCGCAAGGAGCGCGGGGGATGCGGAGTGCATGGTGTGGGGAGAAGAAAGACAGCTCGTGTAGCGTGAAGGAGTTCCCGCAAGGCTCCACACATTCCTTGGTCCCCCAGATGTGGCCGATAGAGGAGCGGAGGCACGAACGTGCAGGCACGTGAGCGCCCAGGGCTGGCGCCAGGGCGCTGCAGCAGCCTCGGCTTGCAAGGCGGCCCGCTTTCTTCCAGGAAGCCCTCCCGGACCCGGAGGAGTTCTAGTGAAAAGAGCTCCACCCGCCCCCTTTTCCCCGAGTTCCAGCGCCTAGCACCGAGAGAGACTGGCTGCAGGCGGGCGGGGCGCGGGAAGGGCGCGCGGCAGCTCCGGGACCCTACCTCGGGACGGTCCGCTTCATGGCTGCAGAGCCTCTCCGGGCGGCGGGACAACGGGGGCTGCGGCTGAGGCTGCTGCTGCTGCTGGGCCTGGGGCTGGGGCTGGGGCTGCTGGGGTTTGCTGCGGCCGTCGCCTCATTCCATGTCCCATTCTCGAATGTTATCCTGTGACATATAACCGAGTCACCCGGGCAGCCGCCGATGTTCCGAATGCGTCCATTGGCCACCGCAACAAAGAGGGGCGGGTCCCGGGCTCGGGACTCTACAACCCTGAGCTCCGCGACGCTCTGATTGGCTCCGGGGGTTCCCTGGCGGGAGGGGACAGGAGTAGGGGGAGCAGGGCGGCCACGCGAAATCCGATCGCTGTCGCGTCCCGGGAGCCCCGCGGGCTGGAGCGTTTGGCCATGGGACTTAAGATTGAGTTTCCCCAGGGGTCGTGGCACTTCGAGGTTTGCAACTGTGGAAGCAAAGGAGACGCAAAAGCATCCGAGAAGTGACCAGGAGGAGCAGAGGGTTTGGCATCAGAACGTCATTCCCTGAGGGGCGCTGGACACACTCACCTGCCTCTACCGGGAATGATGACTGGTTCATCCTCTACCCGGGATGATGAGGGGCTGTTCCTACCTATGTGTGAAATTAATTTTTTTTAATCCCGCATTTTAAAATTCCTCAGAATTAACAAGTGGGTGCAGCTTTGGATCCTCTGATATTCATCATGGTTAATAAAATCCCTTTAAGTCCAAGCTGAGAGGAGACACTAAAACCCAGGAGGTCAGATGGGCCCTGACTGTTCTGCCACGCTGCTGCCGAGCGAGAGGAGGGATGGAGAGATGCTTGCTTCCTAGCCATGGTGAAGTGAGTGGCCTTCCCAACACTCGCTACTGAAATACCTTCCCTTTCTTTTTCTTTAAGAAAGAGGTGAACAGGTTGAGGTGGGAAGAGCAGCCGACTGCTGACCTGCAGGCTGGCTCCAAGTCCAGGTTTGTCACTTTGCTCAGCTGTGTGACCCTGGACAAGCCACTTCCCTGCTCTGAGCCTTAGCTTCTCTTTCTGAAAGGAGAGTAGACCCTCAACTCTCCGGGATCTGTTCTGGCTGTGAGGTTCTGTGATTCCCTGACTTCCTCTCTTGTGGCACTGAGGATCCTGGCCATAGCGTCCTTTCTCTTTAAACTGCAGGTCAGCAGGCCAGCTCTGAGTGAAGCAGTTATGAGACCTATGCTAAGTGAACCTTGAATTAAGAATACAGTTGTCAAAGAGTCACTGATGGTGGATCCGTTTCTGGATGCTTATCCTGACAAGTTGCCTGTCATGGAACTGGAACTTCTCTTCCACAGAAGGGCAGAGGCCCCTGAGGGATAATTGAGAGCCAGGACTTGGCTGAGGAGATCTGGATTCTGGACTTAGCCCTGCACTACTCCCTAAGACCGAGCCCACGTCTAGGACTTTATAGATTCAACAGTAAGAACAGGCCAGGCGTGGTGGCTCACACCTTTAATCCCAGCACTTTGGGAGAAAGAGGAGAAAGGATTATTTGAGGCCAGGAGCTAGAGATTGGATCAACATAGCAAGACCTCGTCTCTACAAATAAATAAATAAATATTTTAAAATTAGTCAGATGTGTTGGTACACACCTGTAGTCTCAGCTACTCAAAAGGCTGAAGCAGACATGTAGAATGAAACTGGATCCTTGTCTCTCACCTTATGCAAAAATCAACTCAAGATGGATCAAAGATTTTTTTTTTTTTTGAGATGGAGTTTCGCTCTTGTTACCTAGGCTGGAGTGCAATGGCGCGATCTCGGCTCACCGCAACCTCCGCCTCCCGGGTTCAGGCAATTCTCCTGCCCCAGCCTCCTGAGTCGCTGGGATTACAGGCACACGCCACCATGCCCAGCCAGTTTTTTGTAGTTTTAGTAGAGACGGGGTTTCACCATGTTGACCAGGATGGTCTCGATCTCTTGACCTCGTGATCCACCCGCCTCGGTCTCCCAAAGTGCTGGGATTACAGGCTTGAGCCACCGCGCCCGGCCTAGGATCAAAGATTTAAATCTAAGACCTGAAACCATAAAAATTCTAGAAGATAACATCAGAAAAACTCTTCTAGACATTAACTTAAGCAAAGAATTCATGACTAAGACCCCAAAAGCAAATGCAACAAAAATGAAAATAAATAAATGGGACCTAATTAAACTAAGAATCTTCTGTACAGCAAAAGAAATGATCAGCAGAGTAAACAGACAACCCACACAGTGGGGAAAATATTCACAAACTGTGCATCTGACAAAGGACTACTGTCCAGAATCTACAAGGAATTCAAACAGACCAGCAAGATAAAAACAATCCCATTAAAAAGCGAGCAAAAGGACATGAATAGACAATTTTCAAAAGAGGATATACAGTCAACAAAAATAGGAAAAAATGTTCAACATCACTAATTATCAGAGACATGCACATTGAAACCACAAAAAGATACCATCTTACTCTTGCAAGAATTCCCATAATTTTAAAAAGTCGAAAAATAATAGATGTTGGCGTGGATGTGGCAAAAAGGGAACAGGTCTAAAACTGCTGGTGGGAATGTAAACTAGTACAACCACTATGGAAAACAGTAATGGAGATTCCTTAAGGAATTAGAAGTAGAGCTAAAACTACCATTCGATCCAGCAATCCCACTGCTGGGTATCTACCCAAAGGAAAAGAAGTAATTATATAAAAGAGACATGTGCGGCCGGGTGCAGTGGCTCATGCCTATAATCCCAGCACTTTGGGAGACCAAAGAGGGTAGATCACCTGAGGTCGAGAGTTCGAGACCAGCCTGACCAACATGGCAAAACCCCTGTCTCTACTAAAAATACAAAAATTAGCTGGGCGTGGTGGTGTGTGCCTGTAATCCCAGCTACTCAAGAGGCTGAAGCAAGAGAATCACTTGAACCCAGGAGGCGGAGGTTGCAGTGAGCCAAGATCTCACCACTGCACTCCAGCCTGGGAAACAAAAGTGAAACTCCATCTCAAAAAAAGAAAGAAAGAAAAAGACACATGTGTATACATGTTTATAAAAGCACAATTTACAATTGCAAAAATATGGGGCCAACCTAAGTGCCCATTAACTAATGAGTGGATAAAGAAAATGTGGTATATATATGCCAAGGAATACTACTCAGCCATATAAAGGAATGAAATAATGTCTTTTGCAGCAACTTGGATGAAACTAGAGCCCATTATTCTCAGTGAAGTAACTCAGGAATGGAAATCCAAACATCATATGTTTTCATTTATAAGTGGGAGCTAAGCTACGAGGATACAAGGACATAGTAATGATATAGTGGACTTTGGGGACTGGGAGTGTGTGGGGAAGGAGAGGAGAAGGGTGAGGGATAAAAGACTACATATTGGGCCAGGTGCCATGGCTCATGCCTGTAATCCCTTTGGGAGGCCGAGGTGGGTGGATCACGAGGTCAGGAGTCGAGACCAGCCTGGCCAACATGGTGAAATCCCATCTCTACTAAAAATAGAAAAATTAGGCGGTGTGGTGGCCCAATGACTGTAATCCCAGCTACTCGGGAGGCTGAGGCATGAGAATCGCTTGAACCTGGGAGGTGGAAGGTGCAGTGAGCTGGGATTGCACTACTGCACTCCAGCCTGTGCGATGGATTGAGACTCTGTCTCAAAAAAAAAAAAAAAAAAAAAATGGCTACAGATCGGGCACAGTATATACTGCTCAGTGGATGGGTCCACCAAATTCCCAGAAATCACCACAAAAGAACTTATCCATGTAACCAAAAACCATGTTTACCCCAAAAACTGTTGAAATAAAAATTTAAAATTTTTGAAAGGCTGAGGTGAGAGGATTGCTTGAGCCTAGGAGTTCAAGATTATAGTGGGCTATAATCACACCACTGTACTCCAGCCTGGGAGACAGAGAAAAACTCTCTTTCTAAACACAAAACAAAAATAAATAATGAGAATAATGCCTTAGGTTCATACAGACAAAGGAAATGGGTCAGTTTATGAAATTGTCTGATTCATTTGACTGCAACAAGAACACCTGGAAAAAAAGCAAGAAATGAAAGAAAAATGTCCCCTCAACATATAATTGCCTCAGTTTTCATTTTCTGTTTAAAAGAAAACATGCCTCAGAGAGTGATCTAGTTTCTCATCTTGAACATTCTTCCTCTCTTCTTTTAGCATTCATTTCTCAAATCTACCCTTTCTTTACATTTCCCAGGAGTTTCAAATCCAAGAGACTAGAATTTCAGGATGAGGACCTGTATGCAGAGAATGAGGATTTGACCTGACAGTCCCGCCGGAGAAAACTGAACTCTCAAAGCTCAGGTAAACAGACCAGCTGGTGAACATCGAAGAATGTCTGGCAAGGGTCACCTTCCTTGGAATCACTACCCAGTGTCCCCACTCAGGTCAAGTCCGAGCTACTTCAATTACCCTGTTAAGCCAGAACCTGGATCCTACTTTACGTGAATTAAAGTCCTAGGGACCTGAGAGGGTTATCAGTTCATCTTCCTGCCTCCAAGCACCTCAGGACTCCCTGACAGTTGAGGGGAAGAGCTTTTGTTGTTCATCTCCAATATGCAATTATATTTTCTTCTCTTCCCCAGCAGTGGGTTGGAGTGGAGAGCCAAGGGGCATGGCACATGAATATAGTTAGGAGATTTTGCTACTTCTCCAAAGAGCTGGAAAGGAAGCTTCAGAAATGAATGGTGCTGCCCCAGCAAGGGCATCGTCAGGCAGAAGGCCCCCTCGTTCAGAATTCCTTCTCATTTGACAGTTGCGCTAGGCTGCATGGACGGGCCAGTTGCGTTCTTCATTTCCTTGTGTATTTTGTGTTATATGACACTCAAGTGAACCCAGGTCAGTTAGATTAAGGATTTTGAATGTTCTGGTAGCCACATATACACAAAGTGGGGCAAGGCCAATTTGCGGTTTGAGCAAGGACATGGTGACTAGATGCTCAACCTCTGAGAGCAAGGCCACTTCTGTTTGCTGGCAGAACTACCGGTACAGCAGGGAAGTATAGTGGAAAAGTTTGGAATGAGAAGAACTGGGTTCAGATAATATCTCATTATTCAAGTGCCAGCTGCTGGAATCGTGATGGTAAATAAGACAAACTCCTGCCCTGACGGCTCATGTTTCTAGCTCTCCTATTTATTGATGGCACAATTTTGAGTTATTCAGCATCTGTGAGCTTTATTTTCCTCATGAAGG